TCAATTTTCCCTCATATTACAAAAGTGTGATTATTAGGAAACTGATTAGAATATGAGAATCTTTCAAAATACAACTACAAGTACTTTATTATTCTCTGTGATATTCTGAAATCACATAAATATGCCTAATACAAGCTGTTGAAATTCACACATTTCTAGTTTGAGCACGAACCAAATCAAAGTGTACTTTGAGTAAGGTGAAGAGGATTCCCAGGAGCACCTCTATGAAACATGTTGTTATCTGAGGATAGTAGCTTATCCTCAGTTTCCTGTGATTCTCTGCTCATTTAAAGATTCTACAAAATTGTCCTATTATGTAGCGACAAATTTAACAACGTTTAGAATTGTTTTCAAATCTGAAGACACTGTTTTGTGTGTGAGTTTGCTGGAATTTATTTGAAATCCAATAAAAGAGGCACTCATACAGTTAATCCACCTTAGAATTCTGAAATAACCTGAATAGAGAAAGGACGAGAAATTTACTGGGAGAGAAGATATGAGGTCACCGTTTTTGAAAAAATTATTTCTATGACTTTTCGTAACTGGCTGCAAAAAGCTGAATGATTCCGTATAAAATTCCATATAAAAATATATGTGTCATGTTCAATGAAAATATTAAATGGGCTGACCAAGTGAACTAACCGCAATACACAAAACCGAGCGGTGCTGGGGACATCATTTGTATCCAATTCCCATGAAACTTCATCAACTCTCTTACAAGCATTCGAGGTGTTCATGAAACAGGTTCATCCTTTCGTAGGAGATAGCCGAAGTAAAGCAAAGCAAGCAATACACAAAACCCTGAAAGCATAAACACTACAGTTTTGAACTCGAATTATCATCAAATCGCAAGAAAATCTCAGTGAAACATTCACGAAATGAAGATGTGTTATCTGATGACAAGAAATTCACAAATTCGGCATCGTTGTGTCCTCTGAACTCCTTGGCGTACTACCGAAGCTTTCACTGTCATTCAAGGGTATGTACAAAGCTAAATTGTTGCAATGTGTCTAAGAACGCTGAAAATTGTATTCTCTACAATTTCTGTGATTCAGAAAATTGTAATGCTTGTTATTATATTCAACGAATGAAATTAGGAAAATTGTCTCGGTAGATTTCAATACAAATATTTCGTTGATAAAAAGCCTTCAGAAAGTGGATCTTTTGTTCACCTATCCATCTTCATTCGCTTGAAAAAGAAGAAGAATTAAGAACAGCTAGATTTGATCGAAGCAAAGTAATATGAACACCACCTCTAATGATCTCCTCCAGAAGGCCAAATCCACCATCACGAGGAAGGTATGTTGCACTTTTACACTGCCTGTAAACTAACCCCTGCATATCCTGCCACGTTTCTTTTTTATACCGTGGATTGAACTGTATTCGTCAAAAGAACAAATTGAGGTATGGGCAGTATACATGTCTATCTATACTGAAAAGTAAAACCAAACACAATGTGAGAACATGTTCCACAACTATGTAGATTGCTATCATAACTTGTCAGAAGCGAAATTCCCTGTTTTCCTAGGATACATGCATTCCATTGGATAGTTCTTGGCTTCGGTCGAGGTTGTCTCAATGTTCTGGACTACATCTTAAGAACTAATGTTCACACTGCTTCACATTGAATAAACCCTAAATATCAGAAGATGGCTAAGCAAGTGTGTGTATAGGTAAACAGTACTACTGGAAGTAACTTCAGAAGTATCCACATTCTACATGAAATTTTAGCACCAGAATCTTCGCCGTAAAATCTGGTTTGAGGATATGATGGAGTTCATTCTTCTGTGATTTCCATGGAGTATAATGCTTCAAACTCTGACCCCATATTTTCAATGTTAGTAGTTTTATCCGTAAGGGGTGAAGTAACGCCTTTCATGACCGACCGCCCTCTTTTCTTAGCTAAATATTGGATGAGTAATGTCAGGACATGAGCCTAGAAATTCGAATCCAGTCGAAGTTAGATATAAATACATATATAACCTTATTATTATAGTAGTGACCATACTCGTATTTGTGAGTCAACTTGACTGCATGTCTTGACTCCATGAATCATGATATGTGGCAGTCAACAAGCTAAGTAGAAAAACGAATATAGACATGCGTCTTCCTGAGATTTTTTAGTTTATTTTTATTATTTTGATTTTTTATTCCTTCTCATTCCTTGTGCAACATGGGGCTTCACCCTAGAGGTGTGAAGTATCGGTAGCAGTGGTGTTTATTTTTCAAGGACGGGGCTGTTAGATTGATGGATGATTTTCTTTCTTCAGCAGTTCTATTACCGGATTAGTGAGGTAAAGGAGTGAGTTGGCTAACAATCGAATCCGGAATCAGATTGGCGATTGGCGAGTATTCTATTACTGAAAGCATGTTAAATATTACGCAAAACCTACTTTACAAGGATGAGTGTGACTGACAACCATTGTCTGTCCAGACGAATGAATTCATCTTCTGATGAAATACTGTCTGCAGCCTGCTGCTCACATTCACTGGGAAATCCAGTAAATTGGTAATTGAATTCATCGTTGATTCATTGAATTGAACTAATATTAATATTCAACCATCGATTTGCTAAACACATTTCACCACCTACAGTCCAACACAATTTTAACACATTCAGTTTGACAAACACTGTGCTTAACACGACGTTGCACTGCACACACGCATTTCATTCTATTAATTGTGCAGATTGTTGAAAATCAATATTGAAAAGACAAAATTCATTTATTGTTAAAAGTGTTGGACTATGACCATTCACATATACACATAGTCACATCGACCACATTGTGAGAAGTAATATATATATATATAATTACGTATTTAAAGGTCGAAAGCGAGGTGTTACTTTTCGTAAGTGAGTAACTTTCACATCTTCTTCGTGAGTTATTTATTGTTTGTTTCGTCTGTTCATCCCACTGAGAATTCAAGCGGAAATTTTAATTTACTAGTCGATCAAGCCTAAACGGCTCTGCTGAAAATGTCCCTTTTAGAAGTATATGTTCTTTGATGGCGAGATCATAAGAATCGTGATACTCTCGGTTGACAGTGTGAATTCACTGCACATTCCTTAAATACATTTCATAATGACGTGGCTTGATGACGTGCTCACTGTTTTAGTAGCGAATTTCACCGTTTATAAATTGACACAGCTTCAATGTCTCATACATAACACTATGTAAATGATTACGTCTCTTGGTGGATCAAGAATTCAGTTGGGCTTAATTGTCATAGTTTAGAAGACGTGTTCAGTCCCGAAAAATATATTTCTGAATTCCTCAAATCCATCTAATGTTCACATCAATCCTCAATGTTTAATTTGCTTTTCAAATTCCAGAACATCACCAAATGCCTCATTTTCACACATTCCACGTAAATCCTACATACAAAAGTCGAGCATATCGAAGAATGGCTAACAAATAGGTAAGAATATCGACAGTTATTCATTGAACAACTTCACTTATTTTCGCCTAATTAGTTCATCGCAGATTTATTCCTAATGGTGCTTACAACAATGGCTGCTTTTTTCCTGTTGAAAGAATTGTATGATTCAATTCAAGCTAATTATTAAATTTGTTCTTTATTTGCAGTACAAGTATTTCTATATTTTTTCCAGAATCACTAATATGTGATATTTATCATCTTGTGAGTTCTTCATTCGTGAGTATACTTATGTCAGTCAATTAATTTGCATGTTCGGTGAAAGGTGGCATTTGTTAATATACATGTTTAACCACATAATCTAATCTTGCTATAGAACGAAGGAAGTCATTTTTTACATCTTGACCTCGTTCAATGAAAACAATTTAGATAGTGTTCAGAGTCTGATCGTCATTCTTCGAATATGGTCGGTTACGATATTCAATTATACTATCGATAAGATTGTGTGATCACTGTTCAAGTTGTATACGTCAATGATCATTCTCTTCACCCACTGAATTCTATTTCCTCTCTGGAAAGATTCGCTTTATGAACTCGGCTGAGAATGGAATTCTCTTGTCAACTGTTATCGAAGGCGTATTCGAAGCAACAAACAACTGAAAATATTTTCCGAAGAAGTTCGCCATGGTTAACTTCTGAATAGAGCCAGAATAATGTTGAATATTCTTTTTTAAAATTCAACTATATTATTGCCCCCTTTGGTTGTGAATGGAATCCAGGGTTTAAACAACACTCTCTCTCCCATTTATTCTCTTCTCTGTCGTCCTCTTCCGCAGGATCTAGGTTTGGTCATAATCTCTCATCACCTCGCCCTTCCTCGACCACGATTTCCTACATATCAACCTCTAAAAGAAGACCCCATCACCACCTATTTTTAGGGGTTCCTTTCGAGCGATGGCCTGCATTGCTTAGGATGTCATTTAACGGCCTCTTCACACGATGCTCGATAAAACTACTTTTTCTCCTGAATAAACGTTGAAAAATAGGCTCTTCGTTGGTTCATTGTCACAGTTCTTCGCTGCTCACTCTTTCTGGCCTGTCGGTTATTTGATCTTCTCTATGGAGCCAGTGGAGTAGGCTGGCTGCTGATAAAAGTATTAAAAACATGCGTGAAATCTTTTTGTGACATGAAGTGCATGTTTCTGACTCGTATAAAAGAAATGAATGACTTCGCATTTATATTAAATGGGATCTAAATCTTGTCCTGTAGGCTGAGGCCGACTGAAGATGTTTTCTCAACTGGTTTCAATCAGATGACTTCAAATCATCCATTTCCAACTCCAAAAGGCGCCGAAATCTTCATCCAGTACGACTGTCAAAACCAAGCTTCCTAAATGAATGAAGGAATTAATTTCTCCCGTTTTTGTTTATTGGTGCTGGTTGTTGTTGCTGTAGACTGGTTGAAGTGAACAATATTAAATCAGAAATGAAGAAATCTAAATTCATACATCTGATATGTTAACTTGTGAGAACGCTATCGTTATCACTTAAACAATCCATATTCTCGAATTGTGTACTCCGTGTATTTATAATATACTACGGTGTTCGTAAATTCATTGCAGATCAGTCGGCGTCCTCCTATTAGTCACATTTGAACTGATCCCGAAAATTGCATCGAAATCTTTCGCCTTTCGTCTGATATTCATAATGACAGTAAGTATCATTTTTAATAATAGATTGATTGATTGACTATGAAGTGAGAGAATTCGAACTAATAGGTGTGATCCGGTCATCACTATGATAATGAAGAAGTGAATATATGCAGATTCATTCCACTGGTACTTCAACGCAGTTAGGATTCATGCCTAAACACTAGACTACGTATATAACTCTGAGAAGTCACAGACTATGATTAATATGTCAACTTATAATCTCCCCATCAAATTGAAATATGAATAGTAGTTTATTACGAGTTTGAGATAATGACACCACGATACTAAATGATACCATGAAAGAACCAGTTGAAATTCCATAGCATGAAACTGGAACCATTTATTTAATAAGTCTCATATTCACGAGTCAAGGAGTTATAAGTGACCCATGATATCTACCAGCCATGCATACATAACAAAGTGAATGTCACTCGCATCAGATTGAAATCACCTTTATTTATGTCAGTGTATTCGTCACCACGATTCTTACCGTCTCCTAATGTTATCTTCATTAATCTTATCATTCCTGACATTTTTACAGTAGTTGGTTGTTCTCCCAATTGCTGTCTAAGAAGAGAGCTGAAGCAAAACAAACTTGACATAACATGTATATTGGTGGATTAATGGTGGCGAAAATAGCTAATTTTGAGATATGAGGCAATAACGTATTAATTCCAATTTAAGATTTTAACACAAATCAAGCTAAAGGGGTTGGATAGTGAACGCATTTGATGTCACAACTAGGAGATGTCAAGTTCGCCACCTGGTTTGGGAGTGGGTGTGGACTGATGAGGATATCACAATTGCTTACTGCTCAGTGTTTTCTCAATGATCTGTCTAATTGTTGATAGTTTGTGGTGGCAAATTTAACGAAGGCTAATTTAACAATTAAGGAATTCGAGAATTAACTTGTGAAATAAACTGAGATTCGTATGTGGACAGATGGATTTGAAAATCCGCAGTAAATGTTACAGTAAATTGACTGCACTAGTGATGTGGAAGGATGAATGGCATGGGATAGCCAAATCCCAGCTTTTCACTAATCACTACAATATGGTTTATTCATTCTGATATGAGCTGGGAAATATTAAGCATCTATTGTGTTCATTTCGCTTTGTTATTATTATTATCACTACTATTTTGAGTTTTTCCCTGTTGCAGGTTATACTGAGGTCTGCCGCATTCGCCGCTCTATTCCAATCGGTTGAAACCAATTGTGAGCTACTAGCGCTAATTATAACAATTGCGATCACGATTATTATCATCGCAGTGTCACTGAGACTGTCATCTTTGAATGAGAAGGGAATCATCGTTTTCGGATCTTTGATGACCGTTCCAGCGATTTTAGCGGCCATCGCACTGATTTGTTGCTACTCTATCAAATCCGAAAGCGTGAGTGTGAGTTTTAACACACGCTTCCTTCTAACTTGTTCAGTCCTGCATAGAAAACCGGAGATTGAAGAAGCTCACTGAGAGAAATTCGATCAATCAAGTGTTCATCTGATCTATATTCAATTTTCTAGACTGTGACTGATTCATTTCATTTGAATTCGGAGATGACGGTGAGAAGTTACTTTAACGGGCTTTGGAATGATGGAGTCGACCATTTAACGCTGGACCTCAACATACATAATACTTAGTCATTCTGGAGGAAAGCGATTTCTGTACTGCAGAGACTCAAGTAACCGGTATAAGAGTATAAATGATTATTAGCTCTGATCCACCATTCTTTTTTCGTTTCAAGGATGATGATGAACCCATGTTATGGTAGTGTTAGAATCTTCATATGCTCACCAGAAGAATCTGTTCCTCACGTGTAACCGGTGGTTATTTTGATAAATGCATGCAAAAGTTGATCTACTTACTCGAAAATTCTTGGGTATAATGATTTAAGATTAATGACAACGTTTCTGCATTTTTAGGTCGTGATATTCTGTATTGCGGCGGGAGTTTTAATCAGGTTATTTATAGTCATGGTGAGTTTATCAATTGGAATGTCTTCAAGGCTTTTGATTTTGCAGTTTCACTTACAGCATCATTTATTCCAAAAGAAATAATATTTTTGAATGCATTAATGCCTATGATGCATCATGAAGTCTCATAATCAGAATCTGAGGATACTTGAATAATCAATACTGCCATCATTAGTTATTTATGATCTCTGTGCTTGTGACTAGGTCACTAGTAGTCTGGATTTCGGCACTATTTAAGCCACTTACGTTATTCATTTTCATTCTCATCGGCGTAGATTGCATATCATCGTGTTTTCTACACCTGATGATGGTAGGTGTACATAATTCTAGAATACTAACTCATAAATCAGATATGTGTCCAAATATAGAATTAATGCAGTCGTGTGAGTACAGGTTAGCACACATATTCCAGCCTTCAGACATTTATTTAAATATGTGTGATTAACTCGAATAATGGATAAATAACTGTGAAAAAGTAACGGTATCATACTGATTCAGTGGATGTCAATTATTCGTCAAATGATATTATCTCGATAGAATCTAGGCCAACTAAAGAAGTACATATAGCACATCTTTAAAGCAGACACTCCACTACCGATTCGGTTCACTAGCTAATGAGACTAGAGCTCATAATTTTGCCATGCGTATTTCTTCAAACACAGGAATTCTATGTTCTCCATGTTGAATTTGTTTCTTCACAATATAGCTGATTTTTATCAGTCTGTGTATTCGACGGGTGATAACTCAGTGGTATGGTATTGAAAACGGAGAGTTCATTGAAGCCTTCTTCGTGTGGATTTTAATGTTTAATCTATTCTCACAAACGTTTATTTGCTTCCCATTGGAAAAGAAAGAGCAGAGTCAGATTAAATAAAATAAATATATAACGTGACAAGTGGTTAAATATTTTCTTTTTCTGATAAACGGATTATTTGGAATGATCACTGTCCTACTATTTATGATCTTCAGACTCGAAAAATTCAACATAATCGAATCATAAAACTACCTCACAACTACTATGTTTAATCATGAGATTGTGCTCAATGCTAACATTTTACCTTCATGTGTGTAAGCCTCTCAAAGTCAATGTGCACATTTCAAAGATTGTAAAGAAATTTACAAAATTTCAAATGTGATAAAACTCAAATACTGAATGGACTATGATCAATGACAAAAAAGGAGCATATGTGAGAAAACCACATGAATATTTCATAAAGCCTACTTTTAAATTCAAGTATTAGTTCGTTAAAGTGAATTACTGCCGTACACCTCATTTTATTGGCAATCGCCTTCACTTGATGACGCGCAGTAAGTTATCAGTAACAGGTGCACTGCGAATCCGCTAAACGGAATTCATTTATTTTCTACGGACCTTTTATTCCAGAAGAATCCATGAATTTTCTTTCTATTATGAGTGTTTTGGTTTAGTAGATAAAAACCAGTGTACAGTTTATAAACATGTTGGTTGTTGTGTTTGTAAGATTCACAGCTCTCTGACATATCATGGATGAATGGGATGTTCATATGCGAGACATGACATGTCACAGGAATTCCTCGTATGTCATGTTTTCTGATATCCAGGAATCTTGTACACATCCCATTCGACATCGTTTTTGGAGATTTCCAGTGGTACTCTAATTGGGAAAATCCATTGATGTTGGATGATGTATCCCATTTCGTTGTAAAATGATTCTGTCCTTTATAGTTTTGCTATACATTTCCTCAGGTTTGGACTTGAATTCAGTCTGGTCTTCTTACAGCTTCTTCTTCGAGTTGTTACAACTTCACGTTGCAGGTTTAGGATTATCCAGATAATGGTGTGAGCTGAAATTTGCTCACAATTTCGATTTTGTTTACAGTGGGCAGCGTCTGAACTATCTCGACATCGAGATGAAATCAAAGTGGATTTTTATGTGGTCATTTGGTGAAACCCACATCACTTTGTTTTGTGCTTGTGTCTCCGAAATATCGTCATACGCTTTCTCTCAGAAAATCTGTTATTCGGATTTTGAATTGAATATCCGATGGGATTTCAAACATCAAGTTTTATTTGATTTTCCGTATGCAGCAGGTCCTTAGCTGTCGACTCATTAAGATATTTAGAGTTTCTTAGGCGGCAAAATCAGAAGCATCTACAACTAACGGTTTTAATCTCCTTCTGCTCATCTTTCAACTGTTCAGTTCCATTAGTTGCATCTTCTGTAAACTGAAAGCCTATCGGTTACTATTTTGTGCTCTAGTCAGTTGGTGTAAGTACCCTTAACATATAAGAATGAAATGTCGAAGTCCAAAGTCTGATGGTGTCTAACTGATTGGCATTAGTGCCAGTTCACTGGTATCCATGACATGTTCTAAGAATGTTTTGTATTTCGGCACTAAGATAAACATACTCTGAATTATGTTCCCCTAGTTCACGTCAAACTGCCCAATTTTTTTCTGCATGGTTGATAATATCTGCCCTGGCAGTGAGTAGATATGTGCAGATCTTGGAGAACAGCAGCTCATGGAAAAATTCACTCAAACATACTTGGAAGACTGGTCCAGAATTCCAAAGGCAAAATGGTATCCACACGTCTGAGTGGTAATGGTTGCTTCCTGTTTTTAGAGGTTTAAGTTATGCATCTAATATATAAAATGCATTAGGCGTTCATTAGGCTATGCCAGTGTCATGGAGTGTAGCAATCAGAGAAATACAAAATAAGTTTTATCACGCTCAGCATTGCAGATGTGGTGTGACAGATAACACGAAAATGTGACGGGATAATTTTCATATGAAATCGTAAGCGCTAGAAAGCGTTTCTGCTTCCTGTCAGTATCATCCAAAACAACACATTTGAGCGAACAATATTTTTTTCATTTAAATCTCATCAGACTAAACTCTAATATACCTACATAACTCTACAAATAAAATTTTAAGTGTAAACCAATCATGGTGTTTTGTCTACAGGATAATGAGATGACGCATATAAGTTGTGCAATTAGTCATAATAGTAATTTTAAATTTTAAGGAAAGTAAATGAAACACGATTTTAATGATAATGTGATAAGATTAAGGAATGATAAGAGACGGGTTGAAAATATAACTAGAGCATAGTGGTGACGTCATCAGTCGATTATGTCTTAATAGGCCAACAAGGAAGGGATAAAGGCTGTACGAAATTCTGTGGAATGCATTGTTTAGGTTTATTAGTTCGAATGCCTATCACCTCAGCTGCGTGCTGCTGTAGACGAAGAAGCCTGTTGAAAAGATTCGGTGGGATACAATGAATTACTTTGAAAGCTCTTTTTTTATCCACTACATGCCACTATCAACGAAATGTAACAAAATTGAGCTGTTGACTGTTTTTTCTCTCCTTTGCCAAACCACAAGGGAAGATGTTCAGTGGTGTCATGTTAGGTGGGCTGTTAAGTAGTACATCCAGTATAACTGTTACATCAGGTTGATTTAAATTGATAAATGAGCAAAGATGTGACACAAATATATAGCTTATCCTTCATTTGCGTCCTAATCATTCGTCAGCTGGAGAATGACAAACATAGTTGTGCTGCGTAAAACGTTCTTCGTATACTTCTTGAAAGTCTTTGGAATAAAGTCTCACTTGATAAGTCACCATTAAGTTGTAACTTGATGAATATAGGTTTGTGCGCGCAGTAATAGTCTCAGATTTTCTCTCTGATATTTTCATATGTTACTTTATGAAACAACTCGTACATCCCATCTTTGTCAAGGAATCGTGAATGTATTCGCATTGCTTTTGTGAGAGGTCATCCGTACATTATCTTCCTTACTCCGCTCGTAATCCACCTCCCTACAAAAAGACAAAATATTGAAATCCATATTTAACTCTTTCAATATTCAGTTATTGAGTGATGATTCCATCAATGAAACAACATGATATCTTTGGATGTTTCGCATTCACCTACATTCATCACATTCTCGAAAGTTGAAATATATTCTGGTTATACTGTGCCAAGTATAGTATCATAGAATTTCTATACTTAGATGTGCGAGCATACAGTTTTCTGAAGTTACTTCTTGTTCTACCTGAGGAGATGCAAGGTGAAAGCTGAGGGTGCTGTGGTGGATGCCCCAAGTCAGACAAAAACCCTTTAGCAAATTTTTGGCACAAAATCAAGTACCTATCGACAACGACGTTAAATATATGGTCCACTGGGATACCACTCAACCTACTGACAGTCTTCTGCTACCTACGAATTTTGACATAGTGCTTCTTAAGCAAACCAAGAAAGAATAAGGGTGAAAAATAAAGAAGAATAAGTAGGATGAAAGAGTTTCGGAACTGTAAGAGGAGGGGTTGATTTTTACCCGAGTGCCTTATCTTCTCTATGAAAAATGTCAGGTGGAACATTTTACTGGAGATTGCTAAGACATAAGAAGACCAGGAGAGATCAGAAGAGAGAATA